CTGACCCCACAAAAGTGGGTATTAATCCTCTGTAAGCTATGGGCAAGGCTCGGTCATTAGAATTCATAGCAAAGCCTCCATTTATTTTTTCTTTCCTGTCTACCTATGTCAGATGTTTCTTACAGAGACACCCTGAAAGATTTTTAAACCAGGAATCTAAGATAGCCATCTGTAGAGAGAAAGAAATTGCTTACCTGAAATTTGTTCTCTGCAATTCCAGTCCCAGCAGATTCCCCACCTGCTACTTCCCACAGCTTTCTCATCCTGGCAAAGCCAGACATCAATTTATTGCAAAGCTGTAACCAGGATTAATTTGGTATTGTTACAGGATTGTTCTCACCTCCTGCTTAAATGGAATTAGCTGCTGGAGTAAGTTGTAGGGGAATACATTGGGCTTGCGTGGGAGCAGCTCCAAACCTAGAAGATTTAACTGACTGCATTGCCTAAACACCTGCTTTCTAAACTGCTTACAGTTGAGCACCTTCTTTTCCCTACCTGTCTCTCAAGGGCTCTGTGCTTGGACTTCGAACCAGAAGAACGAAGAGATGAGCGTGTTAGTATTTAGTCTATCTGTAGGTGCTCACTTCTTCCCTTGCTCCACTGCTGAGGATTGTGCCTTCCTGTCTGTTAACATTTGATGACTTACTGAAGCCAACTTTTTCCAAGAGAGGCGTTTAAATATGAGTTGTTCAGTTCAGGGGTTTTGTGGACTACACAGCTGAGATGTGAGAGCTGCTGGCTACTTCACACTTTTGATAATGTCTGCTGAGCTATCATGGAAAAGACACTAAAGAAAGTCCATTTAAGGAGCAGGTTGGGAGTACATAATATCAGGCACGGGTTACAGCTCCATTGACCTGCCTCTGCGAACAACCAAGAATGTTGCATAGGTGAGAGACATGGAGAGACCAAGTACAGAGAGAAGAAAGGGTTTTGTGAGAGAAAGCAAGAGTGCTCTGTCTCTTTGCTGTGCGTAAATCAAGTTTGTTAGGTTTCATGCTTTTCTTTTGATATGCTTTAAACCTGTACATACACAGATTTGCTCACGTGCTGATGCCCCTTATCAGGAGAGCTTTAACTGGAGACTCCCCGCTCTGGACTAGGCCAGGCAGCTGGCTATGATGAGAGCTAGCAGCACAGCTATATTATGGTTAGGGGACAACCTTGGTGGACAGAGTCACAGCAGAGTTAGGCTCTTGATGTCTGAGGGAAGCTCTGCCTGTGTCCTTCCTTCACAGAAACCCAGATATGATAATGCAGGTGAGAACACAGATTCATACCATCATGCTCGGGCTGTTTTCCAATAACCCCCATGCTGCAGCTGTCTCCTGAATGGATTGGTATGGCAAGAACAGATTGATGCCTGAGTGTCTGTTTTCAAGGAAATGAGGCATTTGGAAGTTCAAGCAAACTAAAAGCTGTGTTGCTGTCTTCTGTGTATGTATTTTTCTATGCGAAATGGGTTTGACTGCATTTATAAATGCAATTTCCCTAATGAGTAAACGTTTTGTCTTGGAAAAAAAAAGTAGCATTCCTGTAGGATAAAGCTTTTTCACCTCATGTCTTCTCCCAGAACTAGGGCAGACATATTAGTATTCTGTAATAAGAAAGTTTGTCTGGTTTAGTATTTTGGAATTTCAGAGTAGTGGAGAATTAATTTCTCCCCTTTGCCACTGACACTGTTGATGTATTGCTAGCAATTAAGACCTTTATTTTGTTCCATGATGTTCCATTTTGTGTCTATAAGCAGTCAGAGGACATTGTAATTAAGTAAGTTAAATTAAATCCAAGATAGATATTTTAAGCTGCTACATTATAGTTTTCTATTTGTCTGTGGTGACCATGGAGGAAATAATGAAATATTTAAAGACCCCAATGAAAGCAGAATAATATGAACCTCAGGAAAATACTCTTTCAGGATGAAGAATAAAATATTCATTAGTGGGAGAGAAGCAGAAAGGCTCACAGAAAATGGCATGGGCCTGTGACCCAGAAGAGCTCTCACTGCAGAATTTAAAAATTGTGTAACCATCTCCCACTGGTAATTGGTTTTGGCTCTTACTATTATTATTCCCACCTGTGGTAACTAATACCTCTTCCTTTCTGAAATTATGCTTGTCATTACAGCAGCAACTCAAACTGTTAGCTATAATTTCCCCATCCCTGCATCTGTACTGTGCAAACACAGGAGACAACTCACCCTGCATGGGTGGAGTGGCACAGGATCACACAGGGAGTCCCAAGCCATGGCTCAGAAGTGAAATCAGAGGTCACGTCTGTTCTCCCCTGGACATAGATCATTAGACTTGCAACCAGAATGACAAAGTCATTAAAAAGGCCACCTATCTTCCCGGAGGGACTCTCACAAACACATTGCAAAAGTCCATTTTGCATACACAATACCTGAAGGACTTTATAATTACAAGATTTTACTGATTTAGTTTGCTTCCTTCACACAAGATGTTACAGATTTCACAGAGTTTTTGCTGTCTTTCACAGCAAACAATGTTAACAATAGGAATCACAGCAGGCTCAGATTTCAGGCAACACGTCTGAAGATCAATTCACCGGGAAAAATGCTGGATGCGTTCTCTGGAGTTAGCTCATTTGATGACTGACAAGAAACCTATGGGGCACGATCTGCCATGTGCAGGTTCAAGCTCTCTCACGATGTGCCGGAGCAATTGTACACCAGAGCACAAGGAAATGACAGCAATTAATAGTAGCATTCAGATTTTGAACTGCGCAATTTAATTGATTTACTTTTGAATAAAGGCCTACTTTATTATGTGGCAGAACTCTTCAAAGGAGTATTAAAATGGCTTTCAAATAAAAAAAAACCACCAACAACCAAGGCTGTTTATTTAGACTTAAACAGTAGAGATGGGGGTGGAGAATGTGCTAAAAACAGCTGTTAGTCTGTCATATAGGGTATTTTTTCAGCAAAATCTAAACATTTGCCCACGAAATATTTTAACTGTGTCTCTCTCCATGCTATCTGAGAAATAACTGAAAAACATGCAGTGGATTTTTTGCCCTCTGCTCAATTACAAAGATCTTGGATTTTTTGCTAAAGATAGGACTAAGAACCATTTTGTGAAGTGAGATTTCACACCTCTGCTGCTTTATAAACTAAGTGGGCATTGAACACCTCTATTCTGAAGACGTATCCAAAGAAAGGTCATTCTTGGGAAGAAGTCAGACCCCAAAAAACATTTGAAAGCAGACAGCTGGAGAACACAAAAGGCAGGCAGTCTTTCTAAAGGACCTTACAAACTAATAATAGTCACACAATGTTTCAAAAACTTTTAAAATGCACAAAAGTTCACTTTATTTCTGTTCTGATCACTCTCTTACAGGTCCGTGTCATCCT